ATCTTCTGCGTTCTTTATTTACCTAGTCTTTTTGTTTATTTCGTGCTGTAGTGGCTACGGACACTAGAAATGGTGGCGGCGGCCGGGGCACTCCACTCTCGTTGTGATCCCATGACAACTGTCGCTGTGAAAAAATTGAGGTAGCTTCGTGGTAGGGGGCTCGGTGTCTTAGTAACGTGCGGAGTCGGGCAGCCTTCTTTGTGCTTCTCCTCGCTCTTCTTTTTCACTCCTCCTTTCTTCTTTCTTTCTTTTCCATCTTTTTCCATTTCTCTTTCTGTCTCCAGCTTGTTGTTTCTCTTTCCTGCTCTTTCTATATTTCTGCCTGTTTTTTTTTCCCCTTTCTCTCTCTTTATTTTTCGCACGGCTTTATTTTACCGTGGCCTCAGACCGAGGCGTCTCTCATCTGTCTATACTGTCACGCGGCAAGGGAGTGCCTGTACATGCACTTGTGCGCGTCTGTTCCATTTAGACCGGCGGTAGCAATGCCACATGCTCAATGCTACGATATATTTTTATTTATTTATTCAATACTACAGACTCAAGGTCGAAACAGGGTGGTAATACATATACAAATACAAATAAAATAATTGCAAAGCGAAACAATAAAGGGTTGATTGATTGATTGATTGATTGATTGATTGATTGATTGATTGATTGATTGATTTGTGGGGCTAAACGTCCCAAAACCGCCATTTGATTATTAGAGACGCCGTAGTGGAGGGCTCCGGAAATTTTGACCACCTGGGGTTCTTTAACGTGCACCCAAATCTGAGCACACGGGCCTACAACATTTCCGCCTCCATCGAACAATAAAGGGTGAAGAAGGTTGTTTGGTAAGGTAATTCATCACATGTATTAGTAAGACAGTTCCTCTCACATGGGGTTCTTGGAAAGTACGAATATTTCAGTAGGTCTGTGCAAGCAAAGTATGTTATCAAGGCTTTCGGGTGGTGGTGTCGGGTGGGCCGGCTACTTATGGGTACCAAATGCGGGGATGGGTCAGTAGAGCTAGTTTTTTGTTCAAACGTTGATCAAGGAATTCTAATCCAGCTTTTTGTCTTCGCGTCTGCAACAAGGGCATGTTTTTGACCAGCATTTAATCTGAGGGCGAGTCTAACTTGAAGTGCTTGTCGAATATAAATCTAACAGCTTTTCCTTGAATACGCTCAAGAGTGTATATATTACGTTTTGTGTAAGGGTCCCATACTATGCTGGCGTACTCTAGTTTTGTTTGCTCAAGGGCAGTGTAACAAAGTAGTTTAATATTCGTGGTAGCACTTCTAAGTTTATATTTACTAATAGATAGTTTGCAAAAGGCTGATGAACAAACCTTATCAATATGGTGATTCCAAGATAAGTTAGAACCTAGTGTAACACCAAGGTATTTGTAGGAGTTTACTTGTTGTAGTGGTGAAGACACTAAAACGTATGCATATGATTGTGGATTTTTTTTTGCGAGTCACTGAAAAGCACATTTGTTCGCGTGAGACACATTCCCTCTCTGTTGCACCATTCACAAATATTGCCATGACTAGTGCTCTGATCGTTGAAATCGTTAGTGGAACGTATTTCTCCGAACAAAACACATATTCATTTGCAAATAACCTTATTTCTACACTAGGGTGAATAACATCAACAATATCATTGATATACAACAAAAAAAGTAAAGGGGGTTAACACACTGCCCTGTGGTACGCCCGATGTGACCTGGAGACAGTCCGAATACTGGCCCCCTACATCAACGTTCTGTTCGCGATTATTTAAATACGCAGAGATCCAACAAACAAACATTTCTGGTATACCTGTTGTTCTAAGTTTGGTAATAAGTTTACTATAGGTAACTCTGTCGAAGGCTTTGCAGAAATCTAAGACGAGCATATCTGTCCTACCGTGTCTATCGATGGTTAATGCAAGAGAGTGAAACAGTGTGACGAGTTGAGTTACGGTAGATAATCCTTTACGAAAACCATGTTGACACTTGGTTAATATAGAGCATTCTTCAATAAGCCTGAACTAGTACTATACTGTCCTGTTAGTTATACTAGTAGCTATGATGTGTTCGATAATTTTGCAACATTGTGAAGTTAGTGAGATTGGACGGTAATTTTCTAGTGCTACGCGGTCTCTCTTTTTAAAGATGGGCAGAGTACGGTCCCCATCAATATAGTCACCGTCTGCCGCTCATAGGCTGGCTGATGCCGTTGATGGCACGGACAGCCCGTTACTCTGACCGATGGCCAAGCGCGAAAAGCATGATAGAAGAAGGTATTGTCATCCAAAAATGAATTGCTACTAAATGCTATATCTAGGCTCCCAGGACTGTGTTCGCCGTGTAGGCAACGATTGGACCTTATAACTAACGAAGTTGCTGAGCTTCAAAATTATCAAACCGTGGCGTAATAACCTTAGTAGCTATTGAAACTAAATAAAGGTGTAAAAGACACTATTTTATGGTTTAATTTCAATTGTGTGATTAATGTGAATGAATTATAGCGGACTTACTTCAACTTGACAAAGGACCGAATCGAGAACGTTCAGCGTGTCCGACGCTGTACCAATAACTATTTGTACGCTTAAAGCATCCAAGTAATGTCCTCTGTGCCTTCCATAGCTATCTCGGCGGTTTTTGTTTATTTAGGTTGTGCTATCGAAGGAAAGAGCCATCGCTCAATACTCTGTCTTCTGCCCACAATATGGCGTGTTATTTGGACGTTTTTTTTTTTCGCGAAACATTTCCTAGATTGTAAACAATGACATAATAGTCGCACCGGGAACATCTTTGGCAGCATTTTATCGCTTCGAATATTGTGCCACTGCCGAAGGAACTTTATTGCGGCGATTGCGAAATCGCTATGGCTTAGAGCAGGGTTGTGTGGACCATTTTATTGCGCACATATAAAACCGCTGATCACTGCGCCTGCTGATTTGTTATTGGGAAAAGTGCTATATTGCATCAAAGTACCTGACTTTTTTCAAACAGAAGTTAGAGTTGTCACACTGTTGGCGTTCGCAAAAGATTTCGCGAAGGCTGTTTTAAAGACGATAGTCTTTCTTGGGAACCTTCAACGCAAAAATTTTAGGTCTGTCTGTTTGTCGGCTGGTCTGTACGTTTGTCTGTTTGTCCACTCTTACCGGCATCGGGTACTTGAAACGGCCGACCCCATCCGCAGCGACAACCAATGTTGCTCAAGGTTGAGTGTTCATGCTTGTGCAATTGTCAATATAAAAAGCAGTTATTGCGCATGTCTGGGGCACCATAACAACACGCATATATTCTGCATATGCATCTCTTACTAAAAAACGCATACATAAGTAATTTTAAGGACACTAGCGCTTATCACGCTGCACTTACCATGCAACGCTTGCACAAAACGAGGAGTGTTTCCAACGCTTTGCTAAGACTAAGGTCCCTAGATGAAACAAGTTTCCAAGGTAGCGACACCCTCCCTTTTTCTCTTCGCTTATTTGCCTGAAGCGCCCCCTAGAAGGTTTAAAACTTTCATCCAAAAGCGAATGTTTGGGTTGTGTTGCTACGGTGAATAGATGTAAATGAAACAAAATGGAACGAAATAAGACGTAGAATAAACAGTTACCTTTATGAACATAAACGGCACAACACAAGAGCAAGCGGGATGTGCGTTACTCAACCGGCAACGTTGGGCAGTTCTATACTTTACACCGCTAGCCATGGCGTCTCGCGTAGTACATTTTAGTTCCACGGCCGCGGTATTTCGTCCAGTTCTAACTAGTCCACTTCTCCGATTGTGTTTTGTTCGTGCTGTGACACAGTGGACGTGCTTCTTGCTGGATCCTGTAAGTGGCCACAGGGCGTGACGTTGTAACGATTGATTACAACCGGCTTGTGCACACGCAAGAAAAAAAAAACTACGACCAGACTGGTACGAACACTCGTCCAGCAGCACTGCGATGACGTTTTTTTTAATGTGCCCATTTGGACAATCGTGATGCCAAGTGATTGTGATGCGGTGCTGGGAACTTCCTGAAAAGTGAGAGTTCTACTGGTGAGGTGTCTCGAAGAAGCGCGTTTCGGCTCAAGCGGGAACTGGCCAAGAGTGAAATGTTTCTGAAGGTGCGTTGATTACAACCTACAGCTGTTCTGTATACGTGCATACCCACATGTATTTGTACCAACTGGCATGCACTAGACACGCATTAGACGCGCGCCTGGCGTTTCAATAAAAACCGACAAGTGAACTTGCTTCGCAGATCCGCGTCGACATACGTTGACGGAGTTGCACGAAAGCATTCGCGTGAAATGGTTCATAGTTGCACTTCATGGTGCGCTTCATCTCGGAAAGCACGAGGTAAGTTGAAGAGAGCGAAACCATCTTCTGTTGTTTACGGCAACGCAGCATTGCTTAAAATGCAGATGTTGCATTGGACGAGCATGGCGAAACAATCTTGGTCGACTTAGCGCACACCGAAACGCTCCTCCTCTTCAGTTTATGTTCTGGCTACGATTTTGTCTTTGGTCACGGCGAGAATCCGGCTGGAGCCATATGCGCATGCGTACTCGTTTTGAACCTTTTGCATAAGAATAAATAACACCACCAGCCATTTGCAAGATCACGTGCAAGTAATGCGCCAATTACAGACGCGGATATCAGAGAAAAAGAGGAGTAATCGAGAGAGTGAGGAGAACAGCTCGAGAACAATGAGTGACGCTACCTTGTTTCACCTAGGGACCTTAGCTAAGACGAGGTGGTGGTGGCACCTACCCGTCGCCTCACGTTCTACAACTTATCACGCATCTTTCTCCGCAGGCGCGCAACCCCTTCCTTCGTTTTCGAAGATAAATGCCAGATGGCGCTCGTGTATACCGTACCTCAATGCGCTCGTTCGCCTCCGCTGCACGCTCGAGGCACTCTAACGCGGCGCCTCCGGTATACCATTCACCGATTTTCTTGAGCAGAACATCAAATAAATGTTTTATTCACTCTCTCCACACGCAAGACAATCGTCTTTCGACGACATTTGCAGATTACATGCAGACACGGGGTCGAGTTTTTTGTTTGTTTTCACTACACTGCTACGATGGCGGTGAATGTAGTTAAGCAAGCCACGAAGAATACGCGATCGAGTGCCTTGGTCACAGTACGCGCTACGTCGTCCGCGGTGCTTTCAGCAGAGACTTTCGGTCCTGGACACACCAGGGGCACACCAGTGGCGATCAATCCCGCGACCTTGCAGACAACCGGAGGTAGCGCCCGCACCGTTGGTAAGAACCTGGTGAGGTTCATGTTGACGATGGTGGCAACGATTGTCAGCGCGTTGATCAACACGTTGGTACTCAATACAATGGCTGCAAGAGAGTGAGATCAACATTGAAGAACTACCGGTGACATCAGCGCCGTCTTCAACCACATGATAACGCAATCGTCGTCTGAAATAAGCCACTTATGTTCAGCTAATCTAACTAATGCAGTTGCTATACAATCTACCACAAGTGTTACTACCACGAAAGACACGTTCATCTTACCACCTTTAGCTTCTCGTCGCAAATAATACCGGTCGTCTTTGTGCTATAACCTTTGTCTACCACTGTTCTAGTCTACGTGGCGAAATAATACCTCTTCCATATTTTATCTTACCTTGGCAAGATCCCCCCCAGCATAAATGAATGCTTTTGACGGTGTTCATATCGTTTTTTTTTTTTCGCGAAACATTTCCTAGATTGTAAACAATGACATAATAGTCGCACCGGGAACATCTTTGGCAGCATTTTATCGCTTCGAATATTGTGCCACTGCCGAAGGAACTTTATTGCGGCGATTGCGAAATCGCTATGGCTTAGAGCAGGGTTGTGTGGACCATTTTATTGCGCACATATAAAACCGCTGATCACTGCGCCTGCTGATTTGTTATTGGGAAAAGTGCTATATTGCATCAAAGTACCTGACTTTTTTCAAACAGAAGTTAGAGTTGTCACACTGTTGGCGTTCGCAAAAGATTTCGCGAAGGCTGTTTTAAAAACGATAGTCTTTCTTGGAACCTTCAACGCAAAAATTTTAGGTCTGTCTGTTTGTCGGCTGGTCTGTACGTTTGTCTGTTTGTCCACTCTTACCGGCATCGGGTACTTGAAACGGCCGACCCCATCCGCAGCGACAACCAATGTTGCTCAAGGTTGAGTGTTCATGCTTGTGCAATTGTCAATATAAAAAGCAGTTATTGCGCATGTCTGGGGCACCATAACAACACGCATATATTCTGCATATGCATCTCTTACTAAAAAACGCATACATAAGTAATTTTAAGGACACTAGCGCTTATCACGCTGCACTTACCATGCAACGCTTGCACAAAACGAGGAGTGTTTCCAACGCTTTGCTAAGACTAAGGTCCCTAGATGAAACAAGTTTCCCAGGGTAGCGACACCCTCCCTTTTTCTCTTCGCTTATGCCTGAAGCGCCCCCTAGAAGGTTTAAAACTTTCATCCAAAAGCGAATGTTTGGGTTGTGTTGCTACGGTGAATAGATGTAAATGAACAAAATGGAACGAAATAAGACGTAGAATAAACAGTTACCTTTATGAACATAAACGGCACACACACAAGAGCAAGCGGGATGTGCGTTACTCAACCGGCAACGTTGGCAGTTCTATACTTTACACCGCTAGCCATGGCGTCTCGCGTAGTACATTTTAGTTCCACGCGCCGGGTATTTCGTCCAGTTCTAACTAGTCCACTTCTCCGATTGTGTTTTGTTCGTGCTGTGACACAGTGGACGTGCTTCTTGCTGGATCCTGTAAGTGGCCACAGGGCGTGACGTTGTAACGATTGATTACAACCGGCTTGTGCACACGCAAGAAAAAAAAACTACGACCAGACTGGTACGAACACTCGTCCAGCAGCACTGCGATGACGTTTTTTTTAATGTGCCCATTTGGACAATCGTGATGCCAAGTGATTGTGATGCGGTGCTGGGAACTTCCTGAAAAGTGAGAGTTCTACTGGTGAGGTGTCTCGAAGAAGCGCGTTTCGGCTCAGCGGGAACTGGCCAAGAGTGAAATGTTTCTGAAGGTGCGTTGATTACAACCTACGCTGTTCTGTATACGTGCATACCCACATGTATTTGTACCAACTGGCATGCATGACTAGACACGCATTAGACGCGCGCCTGGCGTTTCAATAAAAACCGACAAGTGAACTTGCTTCGCAGATCCGCGTCGACATACGTTGACGGAGTTGCACGAAAGCATTCGCGTGAAATGGTTCATAGTTGCACTTCATGGTGCGCTTCATCTCGGAAAGCACGAGGTAAGTTGAAGAGAGCGAAACCATCTTCTGTTGTTTACGGCAACGCAGCATTGCTTAAAATGCAGATGTTGCATTGGACGAGCATGGCGAAACAATCTTGGTCGACTTAGCGCACACCGAAACGCTCCTCCTCTTCAGTTTATGTTCTGGCTACGATTTTGTCTTTGGTCACGGCGAGAATCCGGCTGGAGCCATATGCGCATGCGTACTCGTTTTGAACCTTTTGCATAAGAATAAATAACACCACCAGCCATTTGCAAGATCACGTGCAAGTAATGCGCCAATTACAGACGCGGATATCAGAGAAAAAGAGGAGTAATCGAGAGAGTGAGGAGAACAGCTCGAGAACAATGAGTGACGCTACCTTGTTTCACCTAGGGACCTTAGCTAAGACGAGGTGGTGGTGGCACCTACCCGTCGCCTCACGTTCTACAACTTATCACGCATCTTTCTCCGCAGGCGCGCAACCCCTTCCTTCGTTTTCGAAGATAAATGCCAGATGGCGCTCGTGTATACCGTACCTCAATGCGCTCGTTCGCCTCCGCTGCACGCTCGAGGCACTCTAACGCGGCGCCTCCGGTATCCCATCACACCGATTTTCTTGAGCATAACAAACTCCAGACATCCCTCTAATTATGCTCGTATCATCGGTATCAACCACGCTTAATTGCCACTTTGAGCTTTAGATCATGCGTAACAGCGATTAAGACTGAGTGGATCACGTGACCGCAGAAGGTCAAGACTGGGTGAAATGGCAAAGCGTGGGAGAGGCCTTTTTCCTATGTGGGAGTACACAACTGCTGCTGCTGCTGCTGCTGCTGATGATGATGATGATGATGATGATGATGATGATGATGATGATGATGATGATGATCCGTCTACGCAGCCACAGCAAGACATTTTCTGCCTCCTTCTTTCCACGGGCATCATCTGAATGGAACGACCTTTCCCACAGCACTGCCGCCATTACCTGGCCGAGTTTATTTTTACAAAATGTAACACATTGTCTGTCTCGCAATTAACATACACGGTTATCATTTTCATTTTTGTATAATTTCTCTACATCCACCCCTTATGTAACTCCCCTAGTGGGGTCTTTACGGTAATAAAATGAAATGAAATGATGATGATGGTGGTGGTGGTGGTGGTGGTGGTGGTGGTGGCGTAAATACTTAGCGTTATTCTCACTTATTTTCGGCACTTGCGTGGACCCAGCTGCCACGTCGTCAGCCCGGTACAGCAACAGCAGCGACACCAGGAACGTGGCGCCAGCTACGGCGAAACGCCGATCCGACAATGGCTGCAGCCACAGTGTGAGTAGGCTAAGCAGCACCACGCCGACCGCCGGAATGAGGAGCGTGAAGTGTTGGAACAGGTTGCGTCTCTGCAGGACGAAGCGGTAGACCACCGAAGAGTAGCTGCCGTACTCCTCAAATTCGTTTATCTCTCTGGAAAGAGGAGCACGAAAAGAATGAAAGATCGTGAAAACGGGCACTCTTACCAATAAACAAGATGTGAAAGTCGAGTGGTGTGCTTGGAAGTTATCGAGAAAAAAAAACAACCTTTTAGGCTTATTATAGGTATTGCGAACGCAGTCACTGACACTTCTTTGTCAACTGCACATATATCGTCATCATTTGCACAACTTCCTCATTTGTGTATATATCCTCAGTGTGTGTCAGCCCAAGTTGGGCATGAATAAATTGGTGCCCTATAATGTATGTATACTTCGACCAGAACGTATAGTTTTATGTGAAGCTTCGTGGCAAAACTTTAGGACGTGAGCCCTATCATGCCTCGTCAAACGTAACAAATAATTAACCGTCGCCCTCGATCATCTTCCCGCGCGTGTACGTCACCACGATTGAGTGATGCAACAAAAAGTATCGTGATGACTTTACGTGACGTCACCATGACGTCAAAAACAACCAACACATTAAAGATTAAGATAACGTTTGCCGTCGCGTCATGATGTGACCACGTGACATCGTCGGAAGAACGGTCAAAGAGGCCAATCACGGAGGCCGTGCAAGAAAAGGTGAGGTGCAGAGAGCTTGCCATGCCTGTGATCCCAGAGGCCACGCAAAATAAAGTTAGGTGCCACAGGCTTTTTCAGAGGGGAGGGTGGGGAAGCTTTAATACATTGACTGGGGAGAAAAAGAACAAGACGTTCACCTTCGATTTGTCCTGGTGAAACGCATAAGGAATTCGGTGACTTTTTCTGTGTCCGTATGACTGTACCTTGCCAATTTCCGTGTTATCACGTGACTAAAAATTGTGTAGTGCAATGTTTAGGACGTACAGTGTACGTGTGAACAAATGCTATCCGGACGAATGTTGTGTCAAGTCCAGTGTACTGCACCAGTATTTAGCGCTGTTTTTCATGTCGCTACGGGAACGGACTTAGCGAATATGTGGTAGCTCTTATGGCTTGACTGAATTCCCTACAGGTGCACCTCGTTTACGCAATTACTCTCCCTGTTGGGACTTTCACTAATTCGTACAGCTGTGCAAAGGAGAAGCTTTAACCAACTCCTAGCGGATAATTTGTGGCACGTTGTACGTACGTCTTGGAGGTGAGGGAGACGAGCCGAAACTCCGAGTCCTCGTTGGCCTCAGTGCCCGTATCGCCGACGGTGAGGTTCACGTCCTTCACCGGGTCCAGTATGGCACAGTACTCCACGACGCATTCGTGTCGGTCCATGGGGAAGTTCGTCATGTCTGCCTATAAGGACAAGACACGGATACGATAAGAAACGCAGAAGGTTTATTTGTGTCTGAAGTGCAGAAGCAACGTTGCCATTCCTGTAGATAATAAGGGGTGTCCTGGAGCACCCCTCAGAGCAGGTGAACCAACACATTCTGCAAACAGCAAAAACTGCTGGGAAGAATGTAGGATTTGATGCGCTGGTTTGCCACGATTACAAATTTTTAGAAAAGCAACAACTTGCAGGGGACAGAGAAAGTACTCTCCCCCCCCCCCCTCCTTTTTTTTTCCTTGAGGTTGTTACGCTCCTAAGAATCTGCGGTGCACACTTAATCCAAATTTCATAGTCGTGCACGATATGTAGAGTTCACGACTGGTGGGGGGGGGGGGCGAAGTTGCTTTTTTTCTCGTATGCTCTCTTTTAAACAGAGTCTTCACACACTACAGTGGATGGGGCGCACGCTGACGTCATCAAACAGCAGATTGCTGCTATTAGGTTGCAACTGACATTGATCTAAAGCTTCATTTGGATCAGATGCGCCTCCTGCCAACCGTTGTCGCAGCGTGATAAAAATGACATAGCACCAACTCTAGCGCTCACAGGAATCACATCGGGAAAGAGGGGTGGCGTTTCATTACCCGCGCTAAAGGCCATCACGCTCGATGACGTAGTTTCTTCACACGCCTGTCGTCCCTCCCTGTGTAACTAGCTTCCAGTGCGCTCGTCGTCACAAAAGGAGAAACAAATTGCCTAAAGGGACACTAAAGTGAGACGATGACTTGGCTTACATTGATTAACCGCGCATTCTGAGCATCGTTCATCGTTTACTGAGACGTACGCACCTGCACCAAAGCCATTGCTTCCTCCTTGGAGCTTGAGCCGGCCGCGAGTTCACTTATTGATTCCAGGATGAGGAGAAAATCGGACTTACGACACTGCTGGAACAACTGAGTCTATTCCTACTGGAAC